TAATATTATAGTATAGGTAGGTGAAGCAAGATTATAGATAAAACTAAATCAAATACAATTATGCTGTATCATCAGACCCATAACCCGATTATTGTACAATGACAACACAGTATAGACCTGTATAACAATTTCCAGGCCTGGTAGTCCCAAAGTAGTTTTAAAATGAGGACAAGTAGTGTGGTACCAATAGTATCTTCAATGTTCAAAGTACACAAAATTTTACATGCATTATGTAGCCTGGATTAGGCTACAAGGAATAAATTGAACAAAAATGTAAAATTGAGTATTGCATCATCATTATTATTCAATTCTACTAGAAAATGCAAAATATTAAGGGCCCATTCCATTCAAATATATTACTAGATGGATCATGAGGTGAAAAGCAGGTGACAGTTACATGTGTAGCTCCATAACCGTCATGTTAGCAATTATACATATACATTTATCATTGACTTATTATGCATTACAATTGAAATATCATCTGAATGATGACAAAGCACGATGTGGCACAATATTGCTGATGCATAGTATAGTTCAGGCTCAGACATTATTTACACAATTGAATACATGTACAAACCAGGTGCTAGGCTGCAGGAAATCATCAGAGGTGAAGACTGAAGTTTTCAGCATACCATCATCTTTATTGCAACCTTCATGTGGCTTGCTCCGATGCACAATGGCATACAGTACTAAAGGTCTTCTTTCCAGCAGCCATTCTTATAAATAAGGGGTTAAATTTAATACATAACTAGTTAATAACCGGAACTTTCACAGTCATGTGTGATGGGAGGGTTCCGAACTTTTCCTATCTAATGTGATGGGAAAAGTGTACGAACCGGGTGTTTTTCTCCAATAAATGAATTGGCTGCTCCTTCTACCTCGTCCTCTTTCAAGAGCCATAACTAAGCAACCATAAGGCGTATGAATGTGAAACCTTCGCGACTGGGACGAGCAAAGCTTGCCGCTTTACACTGTTCATGTCCAGAAATGAGTGGACACGGATTAGTATACTGAGCAATTATCTCCGTATACCACTGATTGACTTTATACAGGGCAGGAATGGACATTTCCATTTACTAGGCTATATCTTTCTTTACAATAAGAATCATCAATTTGCTCACTTCAGTAGCTGTTCTTCATCCATCTACCTGTGTTCCTGCTAAATATTACAGCATTTGGAGTAACTTTGCGTGGAACATTTACCAATTGAAGATGAGGCAGTCAGTGCCGCCATCTTGTCATTCCTTTATGTATGTATGATAATTTTTTTACTTTTTGAATGGTTATATCTAAATTTCAACAATTTTTGACAATTTGCTCACTTATTTTGTGAAAGTACAAAATTCTTACTACACAATGATGCAAAAAAGATAAAGAAATTCAAAACTTTGTTTGGAACATTTGTCTCCTGAAGGTGAAGTAATTTTAGCCATTTCAATGATGATGGGTGCAGCAGCAAGAGTCAACAAGTCACAAGTGCTTTCCTCTTCTCTTAGGAATAATAAAGTGAAAGAAAGAGTGCTTAACATCTTATATATACAAGCAAATAGTGTCTCTAGACCTTTTTAAAGTAAGACGGCCGTTTGTTGAGAAGAGCCTGTTCTTTCACCACGCTTGCCACTTTAACAAAAGAATATGAGAAAACTACCATAACCAATTGCATTAAGTAGCATTCTAGAAGCCTGAAGTATCTAGTGAAGTCCCATCCATGTACCAGAAAGACGTTAGCAAGCTTTGTAGTGAAGCTTCCTATCAATCCACCATTGCTGAACTGCCGTTGCTATGGTAATTCCAATGAATATCATTAAATTAACGCGACCGGAAGTCCCATTGCAATTTCTGGACATGACTTGTAATGGAAATCTTTTACTGGAAGTGAGTAAGATTCCTGCAGATGTACAGGCTAAAGGTGAGATTAGTTTTTCCTTTTTTTTTAGATTTTTTGAAGTGTGTCAAGTTATGGTTTTGTTTGTTTTTGATTTGTTCATTTTGTAACGTGTGCATGCGGAGCCTGAATTACATTCAATTAAGCAATGTTTAGACATTGTGCCTGAATATTGCTTAATTTGATCTGCCATTTTATGGCGGTTTTCCTCAGGATATTGGCATAGTCCTCATGCATCCTCAGGCTCTTGCCCCAGTACTTTAGTACAGGGTATTTAGCCAAAAAATCACAAAGAGGGAATTCTCTATTCTCATAATTTTTTCCAATGCATATGCATGTTTTTATATTGTGTAGAAAGTTTGAGCTTATTCTGATCAAATTTGGATTTTTTAGAAATTTTTAAAGTTGCTCAAAAATTGTGCCAAATCAAGTGTCCTTTTATTTTTAGGTGGTCCTCTTAGTATCAGTGGAAAGGTAGCTCATGCCATCAATCTCAGTGGACTGAGGGAAGTGTGTATTAGGAGAGTGGATAAAGATGAAGTGGCACTTGATTTGGTTGAATTCATATTTAAAAGGAGTTATGAGTTTGAACTCTAGCAGTGCATGTACAAGCATGTGTGATACTTAAAACCTTTATTGAACCTACCAACTGTGATGGCTGTAACGTCCCTTTTAGAATCAGAGACTTACACTGTACTTGTAATGAAATCAAAGACTTTATTTTTGATATTTCCTCTCTGGTCTGGAGTCAAACCATCAA